AAGGGCGCACATTGGTCAGGCGAGCGTGAAAGTTGCAAGGTCAAATGAGCGGTCGAGGCGGTTGCGCGGTCCCTGTGATGGGTTATACAAGCGCACTGTCTGACAAATTGACAAGGAATGGCGAGTGACTGTAACCCCCTAACTGAATCTGAACACAACGCTGAACACAGATTGGTCGATAATAAATTCTTTCACAGCTATGTTGGGAAACGCCAGACTGGAATAAGCTTAGGCTTTTCGGACAGCCTCAAGAATTCCGTATCGAATGGTGTCACACAGAAAGGTAATCGACTCAATATGATTGAGTTATCCGCTTGCGCTTAATCACGGATGCTAGTGAAAACAGTTGGTGATGGCACAGACTCAAATCGTAGAAGATATTTCCACGTATATGGATCACCGTGTAGGTCTGGTGAATCCGGTTCGAATGATCGTGCAGTGACAACGCTGCGAGAAAATAAAGAGAGGATAGAGGGGAATAATGCAAATGAACCAGGACGACGCACGTCGCGCGTGTGTGTGTCGATGGCTGCGCACAAAAAACAGTAGCGGACCGAGGACGGAGGCTTGCAGTACTCCATTGGATACGCACAGGCTTGCCGAGTGAATGTCGGCTACTCCTACCTTGTAGGGAATCTTCCAACCAGGTGAGCAGGGAACCGCTAATACCATAGGCAACAAGATTTTGGAGGAGAACGAAGTGACTGACCCTGTCGAATAATGCCTTCGAAAAATCTAAGTAAACCACATCTATGGGGATTCCTTCATCAGCTGCTTTGGTCCATGAATCCCGGGCAAGGAGCAGCTTTGTGAGACTAGATGGCCTGCATCTGAAACCATGTAGAACATTGGAGATTACCTGCAGACTTTCAAAATATCGCGTCAGTTCAACTGCGATTACCGATTTCATCATTTTGATAAAACAGGTAATTGTTCGGTAGTTAGTAGGATCCGATCTCTTACTCCCTTTGTATATCAGAGTGATGATTCCACGTTTCTATTCAGATGGGAGTGTATGGGAGTCAAACAGACCTTAAAAAGGCTGCAAGATATCCTGCTATGGTGGGGGTAAGAGTTTAAGTACATTTGGGCAGATCTTGTTGATTCCAGAGGCACTGTTTTCCCGGAGAGACTGTAATTTGTTCACCACAGCCTCTGGGGTATGGGTGACACTTGATAAGTAGACGGCATTTCTTGGGAGTTGTCAGAGCAAAGGTTCCATGGTATTTGTAGCCACTGAGCCAAACTGCAATAGAGCATTCACGGTATCCACAGCAGTAGTCGTTAAGCCACTGGCCGTCTTGAGTGGGGGTATCCTAGGTTTAACCTTGCTATTTGCGTTCAAATTCCTGAATAGCAATTTGCTGTTTCAAACATTAGTAGCATGGTCTCCCGCTATTCGTACTTGTGTGCCATAATAAGTGACGTGTAGTATTTTCTGATTGTTTTCTAGCTCTGCCATGACGTATCACATGAGCTTAGCTTATGTTGCCTGCAAATCTCAGCACTTCTGTTGATCAATTTCGGTGTTTTGCTTCGGATCCAACTACTGTTCCGGCGTGATATCTGTAGTGGTACAACTTTTGAGGCAGATCGTTTGACCCAGTTAACTTTACCTTTCAATTCATTGCATGCGTCGTTCGCCGAACTGTGAGTCTGTAGGCCCCAGTTAATGGTTATCGTTGAGTTGTGAATCTTGGAATAGTCAGTAATAGTTTGTTGGTTTTCGCGTTCTTTATCCAGCATAATAGCATAACACACATAACCAAATGTTAGGACTGTATAGTCGCTACTTCCTAGTGAAGGGTCGTGTACGACTGACTCAACCATCAACTCTTCAGCTGTCAGGATTAGGTCCAGTAGTGATGGCTTGTTTGAACCGTGGTGCCTAGTTAGTAGACATACATGGTTATACAAAACTGCCATGTCCATGAATGTAAGGTTTTGATTTATATGATCGCCCATTAGCGGACACTGAGACAACTGAAGTTAGGTTGCAATTGCCCATTATAAGGTGATGATAATAATTTTTGCACTGCATAGTGGAGCGCGTTTAACAGAATGTCCTCCCTGTCTGCGGAGGAGTTCGGTGGCCTGTATCTAGCCGCTAATAGGCAAAGATCACGCGCCTTCTTCTGTGATCCTCTATCTCGACCTGCTAGCTGTAATCAGCAAAAGAACGTGTCAAGAATAACAACGGAATGTTCTCTAATGGCCTCACATTTAAGGTAATCTCCATAGTAAATAGCAACATCACCACTGCGAGATGAACGATCATTTCGAATGCTTGACGTCTCACTAAGTTCAGTCTCTGGATCCAGCATGTCGTTTGAGAGCAAAGATTCAGTCACTGCTGCGATGTCCCAGTTTGTAGTTTCATGTCGCTGGCGCAGTTAGGGCAACTTAGAGTAGAAGTCTTGAGCGTTGGTGCAGCAGCATTGTATTTGTTGACGAATTAGCAGCTCGGTTGGGTGTGAGTAACCGGGACAAATAGTGTCGCTCAGCTGGCTTTTTGTGAAACGTGTATTTTTACGGTTGATTGCTTTGAGATAGAAAAAACAAGCTTGGCTCATCTGGAACTGGGGTCTGCACTAATTGAAGGAATGGTCTTAACCGTAGTTCTGGTGGCCCGTTTTCTGTTGTCATGCCACGCTTGGATCGCCACTAATACCATTTCGGGCGCTGCTAAGGTAACTTTCAAACTTTTCGGTCCGCTACCTTGGTAATTTGCGGAGGCAACTGGACGGGTGACGCCCAGAGCCAGGATATTTTGCATGTCATGGTGCTCTGTGATGTACCTTCATTCCACGATGTCGTGCTTTTGCCGTTCACTGTTATTGTAATGCTTCAATTCTGGTACACCAGGAACTAGTACCACTTTCTTCCTCTCATTTTTGACGTGACGCATTAGGGTTGGATTTCCGCTTCTGTCTTTCTGCCCATGGCCTGTCAGGAAACATGCGGGCACTGACAGAAAAGGTCACTAGATGGCTTGCTAAGAGAACCTCTTCCAGATTGCGTGTTGTCAAATGTTACTCGCAGTAACCGAGGTTCCCCTCCGTGTGAATATGCTGGATTTCGTGAAAGACATGTAAGACTAGTTGGAAGAATTTTCAGTTCGATTGCGCTGGTCATTTCAGCTTAACAGTTTTGCTCCTCGGCTTGTCTACCATTTAGCGACTCGCTAGTGGGTTCTGGAACGTTTGAACATATCACCGTCATCGCCTTTTGATTGCGTAGTAACACTTTGTTTTGCGTTATCTTGTGTACGGAGACTTGTTGTGTGGAAATGATTATTTTATCTGGTGTAGAAGACAAGCCAAGGCTACAGCAAGACTGTTTATGTGCAAAGACGTTAGTCGCATTATCCTTAGGAGTACAGTGTGGTTGCCCAGCTAATAATGGAGGTGATCGCGCAACTTGTGCATAGATGTGCATGCCTCGCAGCATTTCGCGGGAATTTGGAGACCATTCAATCGGTCTGTCGTCATTGCTGCTTGTAACCAATGTCGTTTGTTTTTCACTGGACTGTGTAGCATTTTTGCTAGGGATCTGTTGTCTTTTAACAGGTCTGCAACACGAGATCAGAGGTTTGTCCTCCCAATACCGCGGTCAGTTCCTTTTACTCTGCCGACGTAACAGACAACATTTCATCCCTTATCGTAAGCGCTTGAACAGTCGTAATCCCAAATAAATAAAATAAATGCTTTATTCTCGTTAGTGCGAGGCACGTCTAAAAATACATGATCATCGTAATAAAACGCCTATAATCGGTGCTTAAACAAACATGTTACAGGTTAGCCAGTAACATACTGGATTTATGTGTTTGTATAAATGTAGGTGTATGTGTCTAAGTAGCCATGCTGAGACGATTGGTTATTGAGACTGGATATGTGATTTTGTCCCATGGGTTCTCCAAAGTGGGAACATTTTGAAATGATTGACATTCGTGAAGTGCGTAAGATCCTCCGGAAATGGAAGTAGCAGTGACTTTATTAAGTGGCGAGTCACATCTACCACGTCACAGTGTTGTTAAACAGACATTTGTGGGTTTTTTATAGGGAAATGCCTTGTCAGGCGAAAACTCACCACGTTCTGGATTACTGACGTCGAACTATTTGCTGGAAAGGCGTAAACCCGAACCATCTAGCTGGTACCACGATGTGGTTGTTCGGTTAGCCGCAATCTATCTGTTGGTACGCTGTTACCTCCGTTAAGCTTAATGTCGACATTTGTTGCGTCGTAAAAATTGGCACAGAACGAACACGTAGTTTTCGATATGATCTTTGTTCCCCGCTTGTCTGAGCTACGATTGATCTTGGGTTCGTTGCTCACTAGATTCCCGGTCGACAAACTTCTTCTGCCTATGGCTCTATGGTTCGTAGGCACTTTTAGGTTGCGCTGGTCACGCCGTTTGAGCTGCCACAGTTGTCTGCTGCGGTCAGGGGGTCCGGTAGTGGTGGGTCACTAGGCACAAGGGTGAACAAATTCACGCTGGTTTTGTGCAGTGAAATGCACGTAAAATATGCCGGCAACGTGGGACGACAACAAAAGCCTGTAGCTACGGTATGCAATAGTGTACATTGGCTGTTAGCCTTAAATATGGTCTGTCGAATCGTGTCACCAAGGTACTGATGAAACGCAAATAAGCCAACTTTCACACGTTGGTGTTAGTAAAAAACTTCCGAAGGCGTCGTTTGTGGTGTACCAGCGTACCGTTGAACTTACTTGGAAAATTTAGATTTCCATGGATAGAGTTCGGTTATCCGAATCGATTGAGAGATTAGCGTCTGACTGTGCACATTGAAAGTAGATGCAGGTGTGAAGATGTGCCGTAGTCTTGCAGTCTGATGATGTGTGATCGACCAAGCGTGACTTGAGGCTAATGGATCTTGTAGCCACACAAATTTATGAGCTCAAAGGCCAAGGTTCCGTTGGTAACCCTAGCACTAACATACCTGCGATTGTATGGGTTGGGTGTGTAAGTCGTTGGCCATTATGTAACACACGACATTGGATCTCAAGTAAGCGAAAGTAGCAGATAACTTACAGTGTTTGCCAAATTATTTACTTTTAATAAATACAGCAACGTTTTTCATAATCGTTCATATTTCTCGTCATAATCAAATGATTTCACTGTAAACTGATTGCATTTCAGAAAAAAGTATATTGTCTGTGAGAGTGGAAGATAGGTCGTGCTATATCCCAATTAGCTTGCAAATTATATATTCCAGCCAACATCCCCCATGGCTCAGTGGCATAAGCTGCTGGCTAGTTAGCATCTGCCTCCAGCGGTCATGGGTTCGATCCACATTAGGGAACCGAGGGAATGCGCACCACTGACGAGCCGCAATAGAGCGAAACGCATCTGGTGCACTTCCGGACTAGGCTGTGCTATGTAGATTGTGAACTACTGAGATTAAAGACTTAAAATTAAAATGATTAGAAATTCGTCAAGTTTAGTAGTTTGTAAGTGATCCTTGGACAATTTTCAAAGAATTAACACGGAAAGGCATGGAGTGAATTAATTTTTGCAAATGATGACAAATTAGTGGATGTCACATGTACGGCAGTTAAATAAACCGACGGTTACATTTTTATCCTAATTTGTTATTTCCCAATGCAGTCTATATTTTTGGCTTGCATTTGTCTGGTTTTGGATCAATTTATAATTGTAAACGTTGAGCCTTTGTTTCTTACCGTTTTTCAAGTTGTTTGACCCATACCTTTCGTTTTTCGTTCATTTGTTGGGTCAACGTTTGCTTCTTCAGAAGTTTTCGAGCTCGAAGTCCATTTGGCAAAACTTGTCTTCTCACAGTTATCGAACTTACTAGAACACCATGCTGTCCTAACATCCCTTGTAGCTGTCTGCTAGATCCTTTATGATACTTTCGGAATTCTCAAACAAAAGTGAATCGTCTGGAGCTGTGGCTGCTCTGCTGGGACCACACTAACCGGAACGTTTAGGGGACAGGGGTCCATTCTATAGCAATTTCTTTCGAAGTTGGCATACAGGCGCTGGGCTAACACCAATCTTGTTAGCAATTTCTGATCCTTTAACATATACTTTCAACAAAATTTCAATTTTTGCGCCATTTCGAGGGGTTAGGTCACGTAATTTGCCCATTAATATGCTAATACAATCTAGAAACTGCCGATCAACACGGCTGTGTCGTTCCTTGAGACCATAAAAAATAAACCTAAAAGTTATTAAATATGATTATATGTTGACCTAAAACCAGACAAATAAAAGACGGAAATGTAGACTGCCGTAGGAAATAACAACTTAAGTTAAAAATGGAATCGTCGGCTTATATAACTGCTATACATGTAACATCAGCCAATTTGTCATCATTTGCAAAACTCATTCCCTCCGTGCCTTTCCGTGATAACTTTGTGAACATTGTCAAAGTAGCATTTACAAAATACAAATCTTGATGAGTTTCTAATCACTATGTGCTTTTATTGTAAAACGCAATCCATTTTCAGTGAAATCATTTGATTATAACGTGAAATATAAAGCAATATGCAAAAGTTTGCTGAATGCAATAAATTTATAATAATTTGGCCAACACTGTATGATGTATCGTATGTGTACACTGTAGTTCTACACCACTACAAAAGTGTGGCAGATTGAATCACTTGTGTGCGGAGACAGCATCGCAAAAGCAATCACTTGCACTTCGAAGCGATCTGTACTTGCACAAGGTAGTCTACTACACGTTGTTCGTATCTCCAATCCTTGTTTGTGTCCGGAGCAGCTGTGCTCAACAATCAGTTATCCTCAATACTTGGGATCGGAAGACAGCTATTTGCACTAGCCCAGCTTATACTACCAGTGTAGAGAGTGTACACGTCATATGGTCTCAATGCGAATAACATTACCTTTATACGGTTAAGAAGCAATCCCAGTTGGGTGGTGTGTTGGAGCTATCGAAAAATTTTTGAAAAACGAATAGTTTGAACCTTTACTGTAAATAAATGCACTCATTGTTTGTAATGCAGTAATCTTGTACTCCATGCAGTTCCACTGCATCAATAAATGACAATACATTCAGGGTGTTTCCCGTGTGTATAACGTAGCGATAGCGCCAAATAGCAAAATGCATGTGACTGATTGCGTCATGAGACCGGCTTCTAAATGTGGCTGGTGTATGTGTATAAACTTCGAATTCGAGAAGAGCATTCCACGGGTGACACAGAAAAGGAATTTGCTGTGGCTCTTCAGGCGGCCGTACTATTCTGCCAGTTTCAAGCAGTGGCCGCTCAGCTTTGTGTCACTGCTGAGTTGGAGTAACGAGCGGTTCGCATGATTTGGAATTGTGCGAATTCAAGTACGCCACACAGTGACTGTCCGCGTCCATCCTTGCTGTGCACAGTCGTACACTTTTCATAACTTAACATGTATGTTTAGCTTCAACAGAGTACCCAGTTTTACTAAGGACCCGACAATCACTTTTTCAGGTGCAACCAACACTGACGATAGACAAAATGGGCATGATCACTACGGTTGAACTGGACGAAGGCACTTGTTTCGGACCCCTGCCGAGGGATTGGATGATAGCTGATCCGGCGTACTTGATTGCCCAATCCACGGTGGATCGATTGACCGAACTGCCTACCGTGATGGTGAGTCTTGAGTCAGCCTCTTTAAGGTAGCGGGTTATATGAATATAATATTTGGCTTTGATAGTCTCCATCGTTTTGAGTCTTGCGAGTAGATGCGCATCAGTAATACTTTCTTAGGCGCGAATTACTAACCTTGAGCAAAAGGGCATAGCTTTGGCTGATTCACACTAGCGAATTCTAGAACTGTGTGTGTAAACTTCAAATTTTTCAGATAAATTGCTTCCGACATAATTCTCTTAAATTAGATTGACGTAATGTTCTGTAGGGTATTCCAGAGTCCATCACGACGAGAAATTGGTTTTAATGTAATTCCAAAGAGGAATTAAACTTTTGGTTGTTTGCTAGAAAAGGGTTTCTTAATAATAATTGTGAGATTCTTTAACTGACCCGTTAATCTGTGGTTGGATTTAAATATTGTTCTGGACCCACCATTCAAGCAGCAAAAATCCATTTACGACGATAACCCACGGCACGTGGCAGTACGTCTCATAAGTTCTTACCGTTGACAATACTACCGAGAAACCGAATAATCAAACTCATGTAAAAACGGTCAACCTGATTAGCGCTCCCTTGGTACACTTTCAAGAGGCTACACTCACTAAAATGCAAATGTGGGCTTCCTACTAGAGTTTGTACAAATTCCCCATTTATCCCAAGGATGCATTTTCGCCAGCCGTTCGGAATAAATTGACCGAATCGGCTAACCCCAACTTTACTCACGCCTAAATGTTGAATAAAAAGTGGTCGCTTTTAAAATTTCGTTGTATCGTTGTGCTTATCTTTCGGTGAGATAATGTGTGTCATCTCGAGTCTTTGATACAAGTAAGAAAGTAGCTGACAACGTTAGGATCGAATCCAGCATAGTTCTTACCAGCTTAACGCATATGTGTGTCGAACACCCCAGGTGTATTTGATGACCTGTATTGGTGCCAGTTCCATACTGTAACAGCTTCTCCACATTGATTCGTGTAGGGCGTTGATGGAAAAGTGACGAGAAATTCTGATGAATCTGCAGCAAACCGAAGCTACAGACACTTCCTGTTTTAGTTGCACTGCAAGCGCTCACCCACGGCGCACAAGCTCGCTACATACGATGTTCATTATCAACTCTTAGATCGGCGAAAATTATATTTTAAAGAGTGCAGTGCTTCATTCATTCCTGTGATGCACACTGCCTACATGTATATCCCCGCCATGAGGTTCCCATTCAAGGTGAATTCGTCTAGGCTGGGATAATGACTAGCAAACGAGGGCATCATGGATACCAAATTGAAGTGACTCTGTCACATGCTATTTACGAGGTACCCAGTGGCAAACCTGAACTCCATTTAGATTCATCATCCAAATTCGAAGTGGACGGGGTACACACCTCCTGTATGCCCCAACCACCTCCCATTAGGTTGTACTGAAGTCGATCCAAATTGTTTATATACTTGCAATTTACATCAGAGTAAACCACTATCCGAAGATAGATTGCATGCCACAAGTTGGACACACAGCATATACTTGGGTTCATTTTGAGAAATTGAGGCTTATTGGTCGGGATGGAAATGGAACTGCAGAATACGCACATAAACGTCATTTAATGAACCAAGTTCATCAGTCGTTTACGATGTAGTTTGGAATTTACCTACCTGTATTTTGGTCCACGAAACTGGAAACAAATTGGCGTTCTATGGTTAGAGGAGATGATGATGTATTTGCGGCATCGCATGATCCAGGTGTATGTAAATTTGTCTTTGTCAAACAGGATCTAAGTGCGGCTGTGTTTCAATATTTCCATCGCATACCATTTAATGGATAAGTCAGTCCTTAGCTACCGTGGTGACCACTGTCTTGAAGAATTGCGGTTAATTTTACGCGGCTGACTTAGGCTACTCTCTCGAAGAATGCTTTTCCCCAGTTCGCGGCCATGGAAACAGATGAGAACATAACCATCACAGTTTTAAGTGTCGGTCATGGAACAAGAAAACAGTTGTGATACTTTATTCATACAGCCAATTAATACAATAGCCATGGATCACATCATTATTTCGGATTCGCTAGCTCCTGCCTCCGCTTCAAAAGCCTTTCAAGTTTCATCACACGCCAATCATTCTTCTGTTTCTAATCCCTGTTTCCCTCGACTTGAACCCGCTACTGGTTGCACTGCTGCCCAGGATGTCCTGCCTGAGGCTATTCTTCTACCCCGATCTTTCTTCCTGCTGGCAACCCTCAATGTTCGGACGCTTAGGCAGACTGGGCAACAGACCAACCTTGCACGTACTCGGAGTTCCCTCGTCATTGATATCTACTGTCTTTCCGAAACGCGATTGCAAGGCCCAAGTGATTTGCTCAAGTGGCAAACTCTGCTGTCAGGAAGCCACATACCACTTACATATACCTGGCGACACAGAAGCTCCTTCCGCTGGCTTGACCGGCGTTGGCGTTGGGTTAATCAACGAAGCCTAGGCTTTACTTCTTGATTGCTGCCTAGTTAACATCCCACCATGTGCAGTTCGCCTCCAAGACTCATGCAGGATTAACGGACCGTGCTGGAAGGCACAACCTGTTTGCAGTTTCCGCCTCCGTGCCTACCGATCGTAGCTCTGAACTGAACAAGGACTTCTTTTACCACCAGCTTCATCAGCTATTACGCAAAGCCATCAAGTCGGACGTCATTCTCCTCGCCGGAGACTTCAGCGCACGCGTCGGTCGGCTGTTACCAGGTGAACAGCACTTGGATGGTCATCATGCACTGAACCAGAGTCGTTCAGATAATGCAACCAGGCTTCTTAATTTGTGAGAAGACAACAGCCTATTTCTCGCAAGCACAGACTTCAGACACTCGATGAAGCGCTCTGCCACCTGGCGTCCTCCGCCGTCGCAGGTTTGGTCCCAAATAGATCAGCTTGTAATAAGTTTTAGGTGGCTTGGCAGCATAGAAGACTGTCGATCACTTTGGTCTACCTCCTTCGCTTCAGATCACACAATGGTCTGTACCAATATTTGAATGCCTTTCCTAAGAAATCAGAAACGGGGCTTTGTAAGCTTGATAAGAACTGGCTAGCTGGTCAGTCGGCTCAGCTAGACAATGAACTATTACTGGCAAACACACTAGCCTGTGTCCTGCCCGTTGATATTGAACATCACTGGAAGTTCTTGCAGCAAGCAATGTTAACATCAGGTCTATCGCTCTGGGGGTTTTCACATCACTCTTGAAGGGTTGCATATCGGAGCGCTCCCTGGCACTGTTCGACTGCCGCCGGACTCTCGCAGTAAACCCATACTAGGATGAAGTTCGCCGTATTAGCACCAGACAATACAAACATAGCCTTCGCTGGGATCGGGAATTTCGGTGGTCTCACCCCGCCTTGAAGATGGAAGCCGCCACCCTCACTGGAAACACTCGCAAGCTGTTTCAGCTCATTCGGACAACGGGACACAAGAGGTCTGGTATCAGCGAGGTTATCTGCGAGGCGGACGGGACAAAAATTACTAATTTGCAGAGACGCATGGACAGATGGGCTGAGCACTTCCAGTCTCAGTTCAGTTGTTCTTCGCCATCTAAGTTTACACTCAGTACACCCAGTCGCATGCCATGGTCAGTGCCACTCGAACAACCAAACGTAGCAGAGGTTTTTCTTGAGATACGTACCTTGAAGCACTTCAAGGCGGCCGGATCATACGTACTTTTCCCAAAGTTGTTCTAATACGGCGGTGCATCAGTCGCCAAGCAGCTAACGTCGCTGTTTCTGAAGATCTGGCAGGAAGAAAAGGCCATTGTTCCAATCTGCAAGAAAGTTCTCACACTTCGTGCGCCAATTACAGGGGCATTAGTCTGATATCTGTTACCTCCAAGCTACTAGCAGCTATCATGCTCCGCAGGTTATCCCCAACTCGTGAGTCAAACTACCAAGAGGAGGAGACTGGTTTTCGCTCTGGTGGAAGATGCATGGATCAAATTTTCACTGTTCGCCAACTCATGGAGCATCATTACCTCTACCACAGATCAACCATTCTCACTTTCCTGGATATTCGAGATGCCTTCGACTCTCTAGAGTGACCTGTTTTATGGAACTGACTGTTGAAGAATGGAGCTCCGGAAAAGTGTGTCGCCATACTTCGTGCGTTATACCTCCAAACTTCAGGCCGAGTGAGAGCTTATGGCATGCTTTGCCCACTCTTCCTTGTCTCCAGTGGCGTGTGACAAGGATGCCCAATATCACCACTTCTATTCAAGTTTGCTTTCCAAGATGTCCTCTTGGGAGCATTAGAGGGCCTACAGAACTTCTGCATCTAACATCTTCCAAGTAGTGGCGCGACTAACTTAGAGTACGCTGATGATATCGCCTTGCAAGGTTCCGACCCTCATAGGATGCAATCGATCATTAATCGATTGGTGATTGAAGCGTATAAGTTTAGTAAGTGCTTTGCCCCCTCCAAGTACAAAGTTCTTCTACGGGACTGGCAAGCACCCCTTCCTCAATTCACCATCATAGGCACACAGCTCGAACATGTAGATAGTTTTATCTACCTAGGGAGCTGCGTCTCTGTCGACGGTCAGCGTTTGCTAACTTAAGACATTTGTGGCGCCGTCAGGACATTTCACTCTCGGCAAAAGGCAGGTTCTAAAAGCCTGTGTACGTGTGACATTGCTGTACGGATGCAAATGCTGGCCGTTGCGTGTGGAAGGCATGCGTCGTCTCTCGGCCTTCGACAGTAGCTATTTGCGGAGGATTGCCCGCGTGCTTTGGCAACACCGAGTATGTAACGATGACGTTAAACACCGCATCGTGGGTAAGGCGGAAGCTTCACTTTGTGATGTCGTGCGGCTGCGTCGATTGAGATGGTTTGGCCATGTTCTGCGCAAGCCTAACGAGCGTTTACCACATCGCGCCCTGTTTGCACAAGCAGGGTTACTTCGGAAAAGTCCGCTGCAGGTCAACCGTCCACCTGGCGACAATGTATGAAAACGATGACATCATGCCTGGCCATCGCTGGTCCAGTTCGACTCCCCGGCTGAGGACCCAAAGATGACGAATGCAGATAGCTCACAACGCTGGAAGCAATGGCGCAAACACCGTCACAGTGGAAGCAGTGCGCACAAGTCTACCTGATTCCGCGTTTGCAAAAACACGAACTATATAAAACTGCAAACAGACACAAACTGGCGTGTGTAAAACCGCAAAAAATGTTATTCCATTTTTTCGTCCATCATCAAATTCCTTTTGTACGTTTTATTATGCTCCATTCCAAATTCCATGATTTCAAATAGCTCGATTTCTAAGTATTAGGCGGATTTATTGAGTTTTGTGTAGACTCCTCGCAGTTAGACACAGACAGACAGTCACCATACATCCAGGAAAGTGCTTTCCTGGATGTGTGGTGGTTATCTGTCTGTGTCTAACTGCGCCGAATCTACACAAAAACCTCGATGTCTATTTTCTAAACTGTTACCAATATATATATATATAGTGGTTAGTGATTTTGTAAACGTAAAATCAGGCAGACTTGCGTGCACTGCTTCCACTGCGACCGGTTTTGCGCCATTGCTTCCAGCGTTGTGAGCCATCGGCATTCGTCATCTTTGGGACTCCAGCTGGGAATACTTTCGATGGCTAATTCATCCAGATGTAGAAGGCGTACCACTGTTTTATTGTGGCCTGATCATTCCGATAAGTTAGAAAAGTCTTCTCCCAACGAGCATGCAGATCCTCGTTGTGATTTGTGTGGTGAACCTGTTAGTGCGTATGCAACAAAATGTAAGTTAGAACTAGCAGTTACTCATTGCTGCGAACAATAACGAGTAGTCTTTGTACACATAAACATGTTGCTACGCGGTTTCATTGAACTAGAGCCCTCGCAGAGAGAAGCGAGTATAGATCATTTGGATATGGGTGTGATTATCGATGTGGTAACCTCCCGCGATGGCTGGGTGTTGTATGCGGAGTTAATATTGAAGCGGAGCCCCCTTGCCACGAAGCTCCGCATGAGTGCACTTTGAGTAAGTCACCGATCGTCCCGTTGAGCAGAATGAGTGCACAAATACATATACACCTACTCACTTCTTGATAATAGCCTCATTTTAGTACTACTTCGAGCAAATGTTCCTAAAACCGTTTTCCAATAAATTTTGCTTCAAGTTCTCATTAATTTAGCACAATGATATCACCGTCGGAATCGGCCTAAATGCAAGGGACACTAATAAAAAGGCGAGGAAACATCAAAATCGAATTATTTGGTTCCATATCTTAGTGTGAAGGTTATAGCTTGCATATTAGTTACCTGTTTTTATATTTTGCTTCAGCTAAATCCGCACAAATTATCTGACCCAACTCGTCTAATCGAATGGGTCTGTAATTTGCGCAGCGCACGCTACCCTGGAGAGCAAAATGTCCAGCTGGTACGAGTACCATCAACTGGGCAGTACTTTTATCAGATTATCCGCCGCATTGAAGCAGGCACCGAAATGTTCGTATGGTTTCGACGCGACGATCTCAACCCTCTGGTCGGTCAACTTCTAACATGTCACAACGCCTTGAATGATTGGTTGGGGCGCGATTACATGAACAACGACGGGCACCGATCTGATGGGTATACAGCGGATGCAACCGAGAACAGTGAAACTTCAGGTACTGTGTCTTCTGTTGGCCGCAACTGATTTTATGCTGTTGGCTTCTTTAGAGTGTAGCCCACGGTCGCGAATGCGTTTCAGTACTTAACAATCATTTCCTCTTCACTGTCTCAAGGAATCCAAAGCTTTGATGTTCACAATTAGAAATTCGCCTTATTTATGGTCATAACGACACACCCAACTTGTTTAAGTAAGTTAAAAAGAAGCGCTTTTATGCCACGTACGCATGTAGCTGTTAGCGGCACCGAAACAGTCCGCTTCGAATCAGAGGTTAGTTCGCTTCAAGAGCTCCCTGGTAAACTAGACAACCGTTATGTCCGCAAGCACAATGGCCTCTGCTAGTGACCTGGGCCACCTGCGCAATCTGAAGTGAATCCTACAATAATGAGTTTATTCAGATAAATTTGCAGCAGCAAAACCATTTGTTCGATAGTGGTATGTGCCAATACACGTTGCTATGCGGAACAGCTCATGCGAAGACGGCGTTGGCCAAAAATCTTTTTCAAATAATCACTGTACGCTCTGCCGATTTTACAAATAGTAAGCTATCGTGCAAGCAATTCAGTAGTGCAGTTTTCTTCCAGTTGGTCTTCAGGTGCTACGATGCAAACCAAAAGTATATATGTGACACCTATCTTCCGTCTAGTATTGCATGAAATATTACTTGCGAACGAACGCCATACAATCGCATCGGTAACTGAGAGTATCGCCCTTGCCGCTCTTTTGTTTGTAGGTGAAGCAGAGAGCAGATCTGATCTAAAGCCAATAGCTATTATCCGGTTAAATCCGTCATACCTACGTAGCTAGAATGACATGCGTTCAGTGCCTTTCTTCCACTGAATAACTCAAATTGTTCCCGCTACTCTGACAGTTTGTCTCATGTGGACTTAACTTATTTAATAGGATTAAGTTTTTGTTGAGTCCTTACAAACTTCGACCTGCGGCACTCAGAGAAGAAGTGCTTAGATTCCAACTGGACCAATCGTTCAATGCATGCCCCTCAAGCAGTCAACTATCCTACCTCATGGACACAAATTTAGTTATTATCCGAGTAAACCGTGAAAGAAGTGAAGCAACTTCATAATAGTCCAACATGAAATCGTGGGTTCGTAATTTGTTGTATTGTCCACCATGCTTACCAAGCGTCATGTATCAAGTGACAACGGATGTGATAGTACCGCCATACCGAGAATTAGCAACCATAGAAAAGGGAACTTGACACAGATGAATGTGGCAGTATTCTTGTGGCTTTGTGTGCAAATCCGCGGACTGAGAAAAGTAGGCGTTTGTGCGTTAACCATCCCGTTTGTGCCTGACCAGTTCACTTCTCCAGAGCTCAATTGACCGCTAATCTTTGAAATCCTAATACAGCGTCTTAGAAACTCAATGCCCCCATGTTTAGGAGCGTTCTTACAATTCACTCGTCAACTTTTATCTTTGCGAACCAGTTGCATGTGGATGCGGAATCACGCCGACAGCTCAGACGGACGCGTGTCCCTCAACTGCTCAATATGATATCAGCAAACCAACCACCAGTTACCTTGAAACAGGAATGATTAGTGCTTTACTCTCAACTAAGTATTTGTGTGGTTGCGCCGCCACGCTAACTGGGTTCACAAGATCTGTGAGCCATAACGCAAGTGCCATTAGACGAATTTTTCGTAGGATATACCTCACAGAAACAGCCTGTGTGTTAACCGGCAAAATTCCTTCTTTTGGGATCTCCTGTGGTGCGCATTCCTACTGCCGCCTCTTTGTCTGAACCAGTGATTAAGGTCAATGAACCAGAAAGGGGTGGTCGCGGGAATGTGCATGCTGCGACCTGGTAGACTTAAGCACAAGAAGAAACTCGCAGCTGGCCTGAGGGAGCGATGGGAAGTGTCCAGTAAGAGTGAGCAGATGGATTCAGGGGACGAACCAGACAGTCAAGGGGATGCAAACCTGACTAACTCGGACCTTGGACACAACAGATTAAAGAGCCTGTCTACGTTGCTCTGCTAGCTGGTTATGATCTCTCGTTGCTTATCTAACCGGGTAGAAGTGGGAACCCTAAAACTTCGTCCATAGCATTGAACGAGCAAAATATAAGAGGCGTTCTGCGAGTCCACGTGTTGTCATTTTCCTTCCTAGCACTTGGTGAGAAAACTAACGGCCCTGAATGACTGACTTTTTGGCATACGGTAGGGCGAGATTAGGGCATTAGGGATACTCATAAGTCTGGAGATCGGGTTTCCTGAGAGTCGTCGAATATGGACTTTGAAAGCCCTATACCGATGTGCATACCGTAGTAGTGCCAGTGGTTTTTGGGATCAGGATCGTAAACATGAGATTGCCACACATCCACAAGTGACAAGCACGCGACAACCCAGTTAGAAGCTGTGTAGCGTAGAGCAAACAGTGCAGAGATAATGGTGCAGGCGTGTTGTTATCCCCGGTGTTGTACGCCGTGCGATTTCAAGGTTGTTTAGCATGGTGGGCAGTATTCGAAATAATTTGGAACACTGGTAGCCCGGCTTGGTTGCTCACCTGTTGCTCGTTTTTCCGAGCTTGGTAAAGGGATCGCATACGTTTCACCACCATGCGTGGTGTTAGGCAGTGTATAATCCTGATTATTGAGTCGTCAGTCCGCATCCACGGGCAGGTGACTTTTGAAGGTGGCAATTTCGATTTGCGCTACGTGACCTCGGCCCATTTGCTTCCGCGGCTAAACCATGTCTTGCTGTTCGCCGGAGATCTTTCTTTCTGAGTTGATGGTACTCGGGGTCGATGTCGATGCGCATGTTGATCGAATTATTGGAGGAGTACCATGCTTCTAGGAATTCTCTTCCTTTCTGTGTTGTTGGTTGAGCTAAAACCATCGTTTTGTTCTACTTGAAGCTATGTCCCTCCCCAACCATATGCGCTGAGACAAGAGACGATGCATAATGTTTTTTACAAGCCCTCTGATGTTCTTGTATTCTTGTGGATAGTTTACTTCCTGTCTGCCCCACATAGTTCATTTCACAATTATTGCAGTACTTAAGACCGCTGGGCGAATCTCTATCCGCAACACGTTAAACACGTAGGTGGCAATACGGAGTGAATGTCGCACTATATCAGAGCAGTCGTTTGGTAACAACCTTCGCTGCTCATTTCCGGCTGCCCAGTGTTCATAACCAGGCTCGAAGGCAAAGCTGACCTGCAGCCTTAAGAATCACAAACGGGCCTTGTAATACGAGGGCGCGGGATGGAGCTTGTGTAGGGACCGGGTGACCCTCGCAGTGCCCCTAGCCCATGTACGATTGGTGGTGGTTGCGCGGCAGTAAAGCGTCGGCGTACTGCTGATGCCTTCTTCTTGAAGCCGAAGGATCGCGGGTTACAGCTTCTCGACAAGCAGATGAATAACCACAACTAACAAGTAATAAAAAGAAAAGACGGCCGTCTGGTACGTCTCCAGATGCGCAGTAGTTTTCTGATTTAAACTGGCTGTGATGAAGCACCTACGAAACCGATCGAAGCAAGGGAACATTAACCGAGTAACATGACTGATCGCAGGGCCTACACACTACTTTGGTCAACTGCAAACCAGTCCGGTAAGGTCTGTACTGGTTCAGGGTCGCCCCTATCGATGCCGCTGATTCATTGCGATGAAGGCATACCTTCTGGATGAACAGTGGGGAAGGCAAGGCGTTGTTCAAATGAACCATAAGAGCTATTTGTTGCATGAAATTGCAAACAGAGTTAGGTGGGATACAGTGGTCTTCGTATGCCCATCGCATCGTAACACCAACATGGCGCTCACGTTGAAGCTGTCTTGACCGCAGCTAGTTTTTCGGTTTGACCAAGGCTTTTGCGATAATCAGAGGAGGCCTACCCACATCCACGGTACTTGAATGTCCCCAACCTTCCGTCAGCTGAAGTCAAGGTTTTTTCCCCAGCCACACTGCTTCTAATCAAGTTCATTGAGCTGACAAGACGGAGGTGCCCAATGGAGTTTCTGGCATCCAAATGACGGGCGCCAATAATTCAAGGTGGTATACATGAACCGCTAGGGTACATCAGTCGTTGCTAGTTTTTTGTAGCCGCACTGCCTTGAAAAACAAGCAAGTCAGTGGGGAAGAACCGGAATTAAATAGGCTTTAAATCATCGAAGACAGTCATTTGAAACTAACAATCTGCTGCTTTTTCCATAAAAATGTTTATAAGCTATGGCAACACTTCATCTGCCATATAGCAGAGCAAGAATCGCTTTTTGTTAACCGATATTTTTGCTAACCGGTAAGAATCTTTAGCTCTTTTATTGATGTTTTCAAATTTTCCTTTTATTTCTTCATATGCAGTTCGATTCTCTTGTGCGACCTGCGCAGCCGAGTTTCGCTTCATTTATCCTTACGTCAGCCACTGCCTTTTCAAATGTCGTCACTTACGGATAAATTGTGCGCCATGTGTAACGACCTCGTTCATATATACAAAACCTGCAAGAGATGCAACCGGACCACCGATAGAGAGAATTGCTCCCAGGATGTTCCATGAAACAGATGCAACCACAGTGACAACGAATACCCACCTGAACAGCACCCTAATGTCGCAATTTTGCAGGCCGCCGGGTTTTGCCCAACTGATCCCAACACCTGATGCGATGCCTCTTGTTTCCCCTAAATTGTTGCCATCCCAAGAGGATAAAGCCCGTTATGTTTCCATGGTATTGAAAACCAGTCACGTGACCAACTGCCATCGATTTAAAAGCATCGATCCACATATAGGAGAAATGAGTATGATCGAAGGAAAAAACAATGAAAATTTGCCAAACTCCAGTCCAAGGAAAGTGGAATGCAGACCACCGCGATCGTATACGGGGAAGCAGCGCAGCTCGAATTCCGTTTCGAATGGGATGACCAGTGCCCGAAGCAGCGTGCATTCAATCAAGACAAGAAATCCTTTGGTGGAACAGCTGTTGCACGCAGCTGTTCAGCGTATGAAGAATCCTGGAGAAGGCTTGGTGAATTCTACGAGGCTACACATCTCGCCGTTACCAACAACGGTGCAGAACTGGTGCGCTCGTTGTTCGACCACATTTCGGTTGACTAGCGACTTGGTGCAACACATGCGGACGCATCACAACAGTGGTGTAACAACGGTACGAAAGCGATCCAGGTCAAATTGCAAGTCTGCTTTATTGCAACATGCCAGCGATGACATCGAGGAACCGACTGGCACTAAAAAGTGCTCACCACAGTCAGGACTGTCTATCCATTGTCACACTGCAGAGAAGCCGGAGACCACGATCGCCACCACTGGAGAACTCGGAGTAATGCTGACAGATCACTTTACTTGTGGCATGTGTAGTGAAACGTTCCGTGAACGACACCACTTGACTCGACACATGAGTTCTCACAATTGATATATTCCCTTCCCGCATAAGATATTAACACACCATCCCACTTATACTACTATGGAGGAAGCCAGAATGCTCCATTCTTCTAACGATAAAGCGGTAAGGTTGAACATGGTAGCTGAATGATAGGCCTGTGCACTCAATCTGTGAAATGTTATCCCATTCACCGATCATTGTAATGAAGTAGTTTCATCCAAATACATAAGATACAAATATGCCGACATAATACTTCTTCGATATATGAAAAGGTTGACAATCCAACTTTTTAGCTATAACCCTGGAGTACTACTAGATGTATTTGCCGGTCACCGAACGCTGGCAGACACGTAAATTGTGAAAGAGTGGGAAGCAAAACTCAGTGAGGTACAATAATAATCGAGGTACTAATACCGCAATAGTATTCACAGCAGCACCACATGTAGCTTGCTAAAATATGGATGGGCAAAATTACTTGCTTACCGGAAAGGTAGCCTACATGAAGGGAAGAATGGTGATGTCTACGAAATATAATAATAATATGCCGTAAGTACAGGCTACATTTTCATGTAAGTTGACGAACAACAGAAATGCACACTACTACTACTACTACTACTACTACTACTACTACTACTACTACATAAATAAATATAAATACTCAAGGGAATGTTTAGTATCGAATTTTAGCCCGATTTTTATTACGAAATCCAGTTATACTACCAAAGCAAGTATAGGCAAAACCTGTTTCATTATGGGTTCTTTTAGGGCACTCACTGAATGAAACGAACGATAAACGTAATCTTAGTCTGGATGGAAACTCAGGTTGCAATTAGTTCCGACTAGTCTACTTATTAAGACTATGAATGGTACAGATAACTATTAGGTGTTAGATGTCCGAAACCTTAGCTTGTCTATCTCTGCCTGACTAGTACAAACTGCCGTGAAGTGCGTTGTTTCGGGCTGGCTGGCTGGCAGCAGGCCGTAGTTATTTGTCACAGACACGGTTCCAGTAATCAGAGTGACCATGCTTCACTTCAAAGTGAAATGAGAACCGAATTGAGATGGCGCGTCGCAATCCACCCACACACAACAACTACGTTAAAATGGCACTTCCAGTGGAACAATGGCGCAATATAGGTAAAAGCTGATAAAGCCTAACGGATCCTGTAGGATGGTCAGGATGAATACCGTAACATATCGAAAAGCTACCAGCAGAAGGTAAGTTCATACCGGCGGACTCACAAAAATCTACGTACTGAAAAATTAGAATCCACTGTAAATCCATGAGGTTTGAGGACAAAAGAGTTGTTTGTATAAAGGCAAATGGTATATGGTATATTAAGAATAAAAAATACAATTGCTTAACAAGTCCCGTATGATGGCCAGGATGAGAACCACAACATGGTGAATAGAAAACAGAGGGATAGAATGAACATCGTTTCGGTGGACTCACCACGGTGTTAACGCAAAGCCATGCAGAAAAGAACCAACCTCGATTGTGTGGTCGTGCCACGTTCTTCACATTAACTCAACTTTCGAGACACACAGGCTCGATCTCATAATGTTGGTGGATTAAGGCAACGTGAAGGCGTTTTATAAACGCTGGTACAATTGGGGGCGGAAACAAAGCATTTTGGGGTGACATTCCATGGCTGGTACACACGAAGAGAGCAAAAGTTTCGCTAATATTCTAGCCGATTGTATTGTGTGGCGAACTTGAGCTGGTGGCCCCTCAAATTTGTGTTGTGACTGGGTTGCAGTAAGTGGCGGCAGAGCTTGATTGGGGTTCCTCAAAAGTTTGCAAGTCATTATTAAGCCGCCACGTTGGCGAGGATACTGACCGTTCTCAGCCAGAGTTGATATGGAAGACGGAACAACCCTTTGACGTGTTTCTTGGCTCTTCATTGTGGAATGTCGAGTGCTGCGAGAGCTTACTTGTGTCAGAGCTGCCAGGCATGGATTGCGTATTCCACATGAAGTCGCATGCATGTGTTAAACAACTGAGAACAGACAGACGGATCAAACCGCCCGAATGTCCTCCGCAGCATACCAACTTGTTGGTTCCCAGTCTCTGACGCCTTCTTGGATTGGTCTGAGGAGACCAAATGAATTTGGATTGATACCCTAAGGTCGTGCTCTTAGGTGACTGCTTGCAGGACAGGGTCTCCAAACTTGTAATTGACGTTCGGGTGGTAGCGAATGTGGACCACCTTACACTTAGACTAATTAACTTGGAGCGGATTGTGGAGTAACCCGGTTCTGCTGAAGTGCATCGTGACCTCCCTCGTCAGTGATAACCCGCCACATCTTAATATCATCAGCGGAAAACAAGCATTCCGAGGCAAGCAGGCATGTAAGCTCATTAATGAACAAGAGAAATAGACGCGGTCCCAATTATCCTTGCGGAAAGCCACATTTAACATGAATCGGATGGGACAGCGCGCTTCGAACCCTAACAAGCAGATATCGATTCTGTATGAAATTCCTGATCCACTAAAGAATAAGATCCCAAACTCCATCGCTTTTGAGTTTATGAAGCAGAATGTGATGGCCCAAGCGGTCGAAGACTTCGGAGAAGTTGAAGTAAATGACGTCGGCCCCTCCATTTTTCTCGGTCTTAACTAATGGTTGGTATTATATTTCACGTAGAACCAAAAAGTGTCTGGCCTGCTGCTGATAACCCTAAACTCGTTTGGCATGGTGTTCCGCATTTGTCATGAAAAAGGTGAAGAAGTTTGAAAACGAAATCCATATTTTGACCAACTTATTGCACTACCACAGGATTTTTTAGGCACTGTTAGGCGGCCGTTCGTGCCCATCAGGTCACGTGAACTTGATGACGGGTAGTTCAACCCTGGACCTTAGCTTAATTGTTCCGGCGCCAATTCCGTCCGCTGAGACAGATAACTGTCTCACTACCTTTCGCGGTCGCATACAGGCTGCTGGATTCAGCGATAGGTCACTTCGTGGGTGTGCGCAACACGCACACGTAGGCCTGCAATGCATTGATCGGTTCGCGTTACGTGCCGATGCAAGCCGGGCGCTGACAGACGTCCCTAGGTGTCTCAGGCACGATGTTTATTGGATGAGCGACGCGGAAGGCCTGGCAAGTTTGTCACGTTGCAGCTTGGACGGATGGTTGCTGGGCCGTGTGAGAGTCCTCAGCTTCTACTCCCGAATGAGATTAAAATTATTCCCAAACAGTTCAGGAGTAATGTAAGTACACACGTAAAGGTCGACAAAGAATGAGACAAAACTGGGAACCGGAGCAATAATATGATCCACACAAGTTAGATCCAAGAGATGGGAAGTTCTAAGTAGCGCTCGTCGCAACGGTTCGAAAGATGGCCCGCACAAGCAAGTGTACGGTGAATTGGAATGCCCACTGCGAGTGAAGCGAGAGCCTAGATAGAGTGCGGTCGTACGGCGTAAGGGGTTAATCATCCTGGAGAACAGGTGTATAAGGTGAACAATATGGAACGAGTTTCGTGGTCTGGCTGGCAGCTTTCGGCCATGGGTAATGAGTCATGTAAGATGGTGCAGAGAAATGAGCACACTGCCAACTCGGGCTTTGAACTCCACCAGCGCGGAATCACAGATGACTGATTCCCGAAGGACATTCCATGCGTGGTAAACACGTAAGAAAAAGCAATTCTGAAGGCATTCCAAACGACAGTATTGATCTGTCAGCTTGAAATGCTGACCTCTCAGATTGCTGTTGTAACTGCTGTCCAGTAGCGGTCGTGAGAAAAGTTACGCGGGACGCGGTAGCTCAGAGGTAGGGACTTTGACTCACATCTCAACATTCCGGATCCGGATCGCACTCTTTCTACCTCTACCAGAAGATTGTGGATAAGTTCTAAACCTGTCGGGAACTGCAGTGTTGATAACCGGCAACACTCGGCATTCATCCGATTCAAATGCGGGCCCATTGACCGAATTGATCAAATCTCTCTTCAAAGTGAATTGTTACATTGATTAAGATTGTGTGGCGCAATCCGTTCACACAACGAATGCTTCAACATAGACCCTGAAATAATCTGTTGGTGGTCATGAAAAGTGATATCAGCGGCAACTAGGTAACTAAGAGTATCGGCCTCAGGTTCGAGTCGCATATGACCATCTATACCCTACCATTGCAAATGGTTAAGAAACTGATCCGGAAGTGCATTCAGCCTTGGTATCGGATAACATCTTATCTCTATCCCTCATGCTACTATGATGCAACCGTAGTACTAATAGTTTAGAATGCTGAACATCCAATGTAGAGGCATCCCGCTACAATCCATTCGTCTTTGTTTGTCTGCCAAATGTACCACATGCTTTCAACCCCTATTCTTGTGATTTGTAAACATTTCTAACCACTTGGGTTAGGAAAGTTCGACCTACGTGAGCATGGCTGATTCACACTTCTATCCATTTAATGCGATGACATAAATAGCTGGGGAATATCTAGTTAGATAATTTCGAACGCAAAATGACGAAATGTCGTCGACTTACTTTGTGTTTTCGATGCGGCCGAGAACCACTGGAATAGGGGAGATCGGTCTACATGGATTCACATCAAGCGGCCATTGAGCTTATACGTGCAAGCATACCGTCGATATGTAGCTATACATTTCTATCAGGTGCAGGCAATCCAATCTTCAGGCTGGTCTGTCTTGCAAACTACCTGATCATCCAGCTTCTTTATTAATGGACATAGGTAACTATTCTTTCTAAGTGATAGTCCCCGCATTCAAACTTTAAAACAAAAACAAAATGCTAGAGTAATGTAAGTAGGCATGATTTATCCAAGTGAACAAGGCGATTAAAAGGTGGAATCATGGAAAATGGTTAAGTGGGAGTGGGAAAATCAAGAAAGAGAGGAAAGGTATCAGCAGTACGCCGATACGAAGTACTGACGCTTCGATTCCGCGCAACCACCACCGGTCGCTCGTGGTCGAAGAATATCGCGACGGTCACCCTGCCCCTACGCAGACTCGAATCCGCTCCGTCAGATTACAAAGAAAGCTCGTTACCTTTAGGCTAAGGACGGCAGTAGGAAAATCGAGCGTAAACGAGTCCCCTAGTATCGATTGCGTAAGGACCACAAATTTCAATTACTAGCAATATAACGCGATCGCCGCTGAGCTTACAAAGCTACATTTGCTCATGCGAATATATCTAGATGTACGAAGAAAAGAGCAAGAAGCGCACCACGTAACCGGGTAGGAAAAAA